GATAACAGAGTTTGGACTTGCTTTTTTTTTAAAAAAAAAATCCATGCTGACATTCTCTGTTTCTTAATTAATGCTCTTAGAAAATTTACATTTAATTTAAGTATTGATGCAGTTGGCTTTATTTTAGTTTTTTGGCTGCTTTAGTTTTCCTTCATAGAGGTTAATGTTAAACAAACAGATAATTCTCTTTTAGAATAGTTAAAAATAAGAAAAACTAGTTTTTCTAATGACCTTCAGGTTTACCATTTCCAGTACTCTTCATTTCTTCTGAGAGAGATGAGTTTCTTTCTGGTTCTTCTACTTGAAAAACTTCCTTTAATACTTTTTAGTGGAGGTCTGCTAATAATACATTCCCTCAATTTGTGTTTTTTTCTAGAAAGTATTTCTCTTTCACTTTTGAAAGATATTTTCATTGTTATAGAATTATGGATTGGCAGGGGTTTTTTCAACACTTTAAAGATGTTGCTCCAGTGTCTTCTGACTTCACTTGTTTCTGACAGGAAGTGTGATGTAATTCTTGGTTTTTAAAAAATGTAACATACCTTTTTTCTCTATCTGGCTTCATAGTTTTCTCTTTGTGTCTATGTGCATGTTGTTGTTATTTATTTATTTTTTTTTTGAGTTAGAGTCTCGCTCTGTCACCCAGACTGGAGTGCAGTGGCCGCTCCCGGCCACTGCAGCCTCAACCTGCTGGGCTCCGGCGATCCTTCCTCCTCAGCCTTTCGAGTAGCTGGAACTACAGTCGCGTGCTACCACGCCCGACTAATTTTTTGATTTATTGTAGAGATGAGGGCTCACCAAGTTGCCCAGGCGGGTCTCGAACTCGTGGGCTCAGGCAATTCACTCACCTTAGCCTCCCAAGGCATGGGATTACAGGCTGAGCCACCGAACCTGGCTGTTGTTATTTTTATATCTATGTTGCTTGATCTTTGAATTTCTTGCAGTTGTAGTTTGACATCTTTCATTATGTGTGACATTCTGGCCATTAATTCTTTGACTGTTTCTTTTCTTCTTTCTTCTCCTGTGATTTCTATTACATATTTATGGTATATTTTTTTCATGTTGTCCCATAGCTCTTAGGAGGCTCTGTTCTGTTGTGGGTTTTACACCCTCCTCCCTTTTTTTTTTTTTCTTTCTGTGTTGTATATTAATATACAATCTAAAATTTAGGTATCTAAATGAGATAATACCAATCTTATTTCAGGTTCATTGATTCTTTTTTTAGCTGAATCAAGTTATCTCTGTTATTGTGGGTTTTTTTAGTCTAGCATTTTTGTTTACTTCTTTCTAAGGAAAGAATTTCTAGTGAAGTGCTCCTTCTGTTCATGCATGTTCACCATTTCTACTAGATTCCTTAGCCTATTAATCGTAATTATTTTAAATTTCTTATCTGATAATTCTAACATTTGGGTGATATCTGAGTTTAGTTTTGTTATTTGTTTGCTTGCTTTTTCATGTATTTTATGTTTTGGTTGAAAGCCAGACTTTGTATGTAAGAATATAAACATTGAAGTAAATAGTATTTGTGTCTAGTAATGGATGTGTCTCCTTTTCTGCTAGGCCTTTATTTCTAAAGTTGAGTAAGTCTAATCAGGAGTTGAACTTGAGTTTGAGTTGTTGTTGCTATTGTTGCCTGCAGTTCACCACCAATTATATATTCCTTGAGAATGTTCTTGTGCTTAGGTTGGTGGCGATTAAGTTGCCAGATTTTGTGTTGTGTTGGAGTCTCACTCTGTTGTTTAGGCTGCAGTGCAGTGGCATGCTCTTGGCTACCCCAGTGTCGACCTGTTAGGCTCTGGCGATCCTTCTACCTCAGGCTTCCAGGTAGCCAGAACTACAGGAACGTGCTACCATGCCTGGCTAATTTTTTTGTGTGTTGTGGCGATGAAGACTTGCCAAGTTGCCCGGGCTGGTCTTGAACCTGCAGGCTCAGGCAATCCACTCACCTCGGTCTCTCAAAGTGCTCGGATTACAGGCTGAGCCACTGAGCCCAGCCCCCAGATTTTTAAAAAAATTTATCTATAGGTTTTCCTTAGGAGCCTCAGAGAGGGTCTCTCCCCATGTTCATTCCTCTCTAGTGGTAGATTGCTGCTACTTGTCACTTGGAGCATTCTAGGAGGAAAAGAGTGTTCTCTGTTATTTTAATTTAGCGTCCATCTTTTTTTCAAGTCAAAAAAACTTTTATTATAATTAGCATAGTTTATAGAAAAACAAATGTAACAAAGGCATCAGGATTGTACTAAAAAAATACACATTTATACACATTGCTCCACCCCCATCTGGGATCAGGGTCTCGCAACATCAGGCGTAGCAGCTGCATTTGTCTGATGCCTCTTTGCAGATGCAGCCTGGGCACACTTGGCACAGCCCACGGGGCAGCAGAAGCAGCAGCTCTTCTTGCAAGATGTTCATTTGCACTCTTTGTACTTGCAGGAGCCAGCACAGCACAGGAGTCACCAGTGACACAGGAGCAGTTGGGGGTCCATGTTGAGCCCAGGCGAGGTGACAGTTCTAGGCAAGAGGGAAGAGGCAGAGGGGAAGTGGGAACCTGGTAGCTTCTGTCTTAGACAAGTCCTTTGATCCTGCATTTCTAGGGTGAGGCTCATTTTGTGATCTTGCCTCTCCCTCAGTAGCAGGGATCCTCTAGTGATCCAGTTTCCTGACCCTCCTGCAGTGGTAGACGATTTTTTTTTTCTGTTTACTTCCCCCTGCAACAATGGGTATTACCTGAGCCTCTGGGGCAGCAGTTTTGCTGACCTTTCCTCAGTGACTTAATACTTTTGTTTCTTTAGGGATAAAAGCTCTCTCTACTTGGGACTTTGTGTTTCTCCTGCAGTAGGGACTGATTTCTTTTCCCAGGATTGGATCTGGAGAAGACATTTTCTAATTTCCCACCCTTCCTCAATAACAGAGAAACGGAATACTCTTGAGTACACAGTGAGGTCTGTAGAAAATAGTCTGCAAATAAGTATGAATGTCTTGTGTGTCTAAGTCTCTTAGTATATTTTCATGATAGCTCACCCTTGGCCTTTTGCAATTACCCAGAGGTGGGGTAGTCCCAGCTTTTCTCCTGTGTACTGCCCTATGTCAGCCAATCCTTATGACCCACTCTCTTCTAAGACAGCCATCTTTCTTTAGGTTTCCATCTCGTTGGTTGCCTTCTGACTTTAGCTCTGATGGATTCAAGAAAAATTGCGGTTTTATAAATTATCCAGCCTCTTGTGGTCATTAGGGTGAAAGTGATATTATCTCCAGCTCTGTGTAACCTCCTCAGAATCAAACGTCTCCCTGAAAAAGATTTAAGCCCTAAATAGTACCCAGTCCTGATCTAATTTTCTTCATACCTTAGAAGAGGGCATGCCAGATGTTCTCTATCTTGAATGATACTTGTGTTAATGAATTGGATAAAATGCAAATAGTCCCTTTCCCATTATACCCATGATTCAATACGTTTATAAAGGAGAGAAATGCTGGCTGTTCATACTCACAGAGAGATGTGTCAGTTCTACCAGTTTTAAAACATTAAGGGACCAAAAGGCACCTCTCAGTGCTTAAGAAAGATAAACTTTATGTTGAGGCAATTGCATTCTTAAATACAGGAGCCAGCACAGCACAGACCACAAGTGCTGATCTTTCAGCCATTAGCCACCGTGCCTGGCCATATTCCAGATCTCTTTGATTTATGTGATTGGTAACTACATCTACAGGCAAAGGTTCTGGAGGCAAGGACATTAAAGTATGTGGGTTAAGAAAAATTTGAGTAGAGATTATTTCAAATACACAGAAGTAGAGATAAAAGAGTTTACTGATTTCCCCATATACCTACTATCCAGCTTAAAACAATTATCTAACAATCTTACCATTTATAGCTCTCTCTCAGTGGATTATTTTGAAGTATCCTTTTATGTGTAAATGAGTGTAAGGAATTGTGGATTCTTATTCCACATTATATGTATTTTTAAAAATATTTTGACTTTGGTTGAAGAACGATCGTGGCTACTAATTTTGTGCTATTTACATTCAAAGGCATTCATTTAATGTTTGACTGGGTGTATTTCAGATCTCTCTCTCTCTCTCTCTCTCTCTCTCTCTCTCTCTCTTTCTTTTTGAGTTAGGCTCTCATTCTGTTTTCCAGGCTGGAGTGCAATGGGATGATCATGGCTCACTTCAGCCTCCAATACCTTGGGCTCAAGTGATCCTTCTGAGTCAGCCTCCTGAGTGGCTGGGATTACAGGCATGTGCCACCACACCTGGCTACTTTTTAAATTTTTTTTGGAGACAACGTCTTGCTGTGTTACCCAGGCTGGTCTTGAACTCCTGGGCTCAAGCAGTCCTCCCGCCTCAGCCTCCCACAAGTGCTGGTCTTTCAGGCATTAGCCACCGTGCCTGACCGTATTCCTGATCTCTTTGATTTATGTGATTGGTAACTACATCTACAGGCAAAGGTTCTGGAGGCAAGGACATTTTCCCCTGGTATTTGCAGATCTTTCTTTCTCCTTAAACAGTAGCCTGTTATACTGCTTTCAGTTAATTGGAGTTTCAGCAGACATCCCCTAATAATTGAACTCAATCGAACAGATTAATTTTCATACTTCATTGAGACTGCTATTTATACCTACATATTCAAAGAACAAAGCAGAATAACTTGATTTTACTTTACTGGTTGTATTTTGAACTGTTGTACATGTGTAAGAGTTCAGTGTTTAAACTCCATGTTCTTTATTTTTTTAATATTTTATTTTGGAATGATATTAGATTTACAGAGAAATTGCAAAAATAGAACAAGGAGTTTATATATACCTATCACCTATCTTCTTTTTTTTTTTTTTATGTGAGAAAGCAGGATTAATTGAGAGGACAGAAAAACTCCCACAGTGAGAGGGGACCCGAAGGGGTCGCTTATCACCTCACCTATCTTCTAATGTTAAAAACTTAAGTAATCATGGTATAATGACAATAGCCATGCAGTTAACCGTGGTTATATGTTCTTATTTTGACAGCTGCTGAATTAGTTCAAGAAATTGAAAATATGGAGAAGACTAGGATGCGTCTTGAAGCTAGTAAACTCAATGAAAGTGTATGTTGATGGTCTGTTTCAGTATCTGGGTAGAAATAAAGGAGAGACAAGTTTAATACCCTACTGAAATTAAAGCAAGCAATTATTAAATCTGTTTAGGTGGAAACGTACTGAACGCATTACCATTTAGTGTCTTAAGATTTACTTGCAACTAATTTTAGATAAACTCCAAAGTAGAGTTTGTTCGTGAGCTAGAATTCTATTAGAAAAGGCCTGTGCAGCAGGTAGCTTTAATATTGGTTGTTTCTGTGCTTGCATTTGATAAGTTACTTTGGGTCTTCATCTATAAAATGAAAGTGTTGAACGGGATGATCTCTAAGGTCTCCTTTTAGCTCTGGCATTCTGCAATTCTATGATTATACTGATAGAGATATTAAGTCATTGTAAAAGCTTATGAGAACTGGGTATTCTGTTGAGCTTTTGGGAGAATCAGAGACCTAAAATTCTTCACTGTTGCCTTCCTCTAGCTTGATGGCCCAAAACTCGAGGACAGGATACCAAAGAGGAAAATAGTCATTGTGTCCTGTGACATTGGAGGAAGTGTTATGGGCTCTCCTAAATAGACCTTCCCTCCCCCCAAAACCATCTGTGTAAAGGAAGTGATGATGACCTTAGGTAGTTTATAATCAGATAGTAGGAAAATCCTGGGGTTTATATTGACTTTATTATTACCTGCATGCTAACTGTAAGAAGAGGACTATAATGAATTGTATAAGTAGATTTCTGATCTTTTCAGTCTGATATTTTAAAAAATGAAATTAGAAATTCAACACACTGAGTTTTGTATTATTGCAATTTCTCTCTGTATATTACTTTTCTAGTGTGCCCTGGAGAAGTTAGGTTGGAAAGGAAGGCAGACAAGAAGATCTGCCTTACTAATGGCTAAATGTCTTCAGTCTTCTAGTTTCAACTTCTATTTAAACTGCAAGACTATTACATTAATGAATGTGGAAAATTGAATATTGAAAATAGGAAATTTAATTGATCATTTTGTTAATACTTAATCTATTGTAATGGAATCAGTGTTGTATCTGCTACTGATGGGGAAAAAGTAATGCATAAAATGTAAACTATTTATGGTATTTAATGGAAGTACATAGGAGTTATTCTTCCTGGGCCTATATAAAACAGATGAGGATTATTTTTCTCTCTTTTAAATATCCACATTTGAGATCTTAGAGTTTGTCATATTAATTTCCACTTTTGTCATTTTGAGGGGAAATTTTATTTTTTCTTTTGATTTCTTTAGGTCATGGTTTTTACTAAGGACCAAACAGAAGAGCAAATAGATGAAATTCACAGTAAATATCGTAAGTTGTGCCACATTTTCTTTATTTACTAAGAACTTAGGTTGCTGTTTTTCATTCTAAGTAATCTTAAAAACATGTTTTATATTAATGTTTAATACAGACTTTTGTAATGTTACTTAAGAGATTGAATTTTAGTTGAGTGTTTGCGTAGTGACCCTTTTGTGCCCTCTGTGTGCTTGCTTTTTGATTTGTGACTAACATTCTGCTTTGAGCTTATTACTAAGCACTTTGCAATCATTAATTAGCTGTTCTCAAAGCATCTCTGTGAGAAGAAGATGGCATTAAAATGGAAACATTCCTAATTCTATCCTGTCCTCAGACAACTCAAAACAAAATTCTGTAAAGAATTTCAACACTTCTATAGCTTGCAGATTTGTGCCAAAAGAAGTTTTTATTTTACCAATCTCTGAACTTTATCACTTCCTTTTCTTTAAATATCACTTCTTTTTCTTTAAATGTCTTTGTATATGTGTTTCCCAGGGTGAACACATCACTGTTTTGTCAGTTAGCTGTTATTCTTTTTTCCCTTGGTTGATTGTTTTTTGTTTTGTTTTGTTTTGTTTTTTGAGTTGGAGTCTCACTCAGTTGCCCAGACTAGAGTTCAGTGGCCGCTCCCGGCCACCACAGCCTCAACCTACTGGGCTCCGGCGATCCTCCCGCCTCAGCCTTCCAAGTAACTGGAACTACAGGCGCGCGCTACCATGCTTGGATAATTTTTTTTATTTATTGTAGAAATGAGGTCTCGCCAAGTTGCCCAGGTGGGTCTTGAACCTGCAGGCTCAGGCAATTCAGTCACCTCGGCCTCCGAAAGCCCGGGATTACAGGCTGAGCCACCGAGTCTGGCCGGTTGATTGTTTTTTAGTTTAAACTTAAATTTAAGTACCTGGACAAATAGTTAATACATGCTTGTTGAATGAGTAATAAGGCATGGTGTGTTTTAATTGTGCTAAGAGAATTTTTTTCTCTTTTCAGTTCTTAAATTTTGAAGGGGCAGATTTCAGATGTGATGTATTTTGGGAGGGAGGATAAAGTACTTGAGCGCTAGGTGTAGGTTTGATGGCCTGTGCCTTGCGAGAGTAGGGCCTAGAATATTCTTGGACTGTAGAATGAACTGCAAAAGTTACCAGTATTCTTTTGCTGGTAAGGTAAGTATGATGTGAGCATGTTTGTTCAACATTTGGGAAACTAGAGTGATTTTTCTTTAGCAAGGAGAAGAAAACAATATCATATGATCACTGAATTGGCCTGTAAAAATGAGGATCACTAAGGCCTGTGGAAATAAGGAAACCAAAATATTTACGTTGAGAGACAGTAATTTGAATAACTAAAAGAATAGTGTCTAACAATTATGGTATAGTAAGAAAAATTTGAATTAGAGAGTGGCAAGAAAGTTTATAAATATTTGTTGCCCAACATTTAGACGTCTAAAGAAAAAAAAATCTTACCTTTACTAAATAGGCCATGTTAAATTAATTCATTCAGTTCTAAAAACAACCTCAATTTATACTTGAAAAAAGTTTTTCAGGTGCTTCATAAAGCTTAGCATTACAGTTAGTTGTTCATTTTTACTTAGTGTCAGGCTTTTTTTGGAGTCGGAGTCTTACTGATGCCCAGGCTGGAGTACAGTGGCACACTCACGGCCACTGAAAGCCTCTACCTGCTGGGTTTAGGCGATCATTCTGCCTCAGCTTTCCGAGTAGCTAGAACTACAGGCATGCGCTCAGCTAATTTTCTTGATTTATTGTAGAGACGAGGTCTCGCCAAGTTGCCCAAGCTGGTCTCGATCTTGTGTGCTCAGGCAATCCTCTCACCTTGGCCTCCGAAAGAACTGGTATTATAAGCATGAGCCACCGTGCCTGGCCAGTGTCAGGCTTTTAATATACCATTAGCATATCTTTGTCTTTTTTTTTTTTTTTTTTGAGTTGGAGTCTCACTCTGTCCCCCAGATGGAGTGCAGTAGCCGCTCCCGGCCACCACAGCCTCGACCTGCTGGACTCCAGTGATCCTTCCACCTCAGCCTTCCAAGTAGCTGGAATTACAGGCATGCGCTACCATGCCCGGCTGATTTTTTGATTTATTGTAGAGATGAGGTCTCGCTGTCCAGGCAGGTCTCGAACCCGCGGGCTCAGGCAATCCACTTACCTCAGCCTCCCAAAGGCACAGGATTACAGGCTGAGCCACCGAGCCCGGCTGTCTTTTAAATGTTTTTATTAATGTTTTACATTTGTGTAGTTTGTTAATTTGAAAAAGCCCTTACTTCTTTGAGGTTTATTGTAAAAAACAGCAATCTATTTTCTCCTCTATCAACAACCTGCCTCTATTTCCATTCCCTAGAGGGAACAACTTGTCATACCAGAAGAGTCTGGTAATTTACCTTCTAATTTATAAAAAGTAATCTTTACTATTTCTTGATGATTTTCAGTTTTACATGTTAACTGTTGATATGCTAATACAAAAGATGAAGATTTGACTTTTATACATTCTGACCTCTACCTTTCTTCCCTTCTATACTCTGAATATTATAATTTCTTTTTTTATCATATCAGTATTTAGTTAGAGACATTGTAGCTTGAGCCAGATAATATACATACCTTGGTTATAATTCCTTTCAGGAAAACATTCTGTTCTTATAATTAATGATTGCTTTTATTTTTTTAGTTTTCTATTTATGCAGGACTAATCTATCTCTGAATTTTCTACCAGAAGTATAAGTTACTTTCTAGTACATTTGTACACATTGATTATCTACCAACTTCATTATTTTCTCAGGATCATCTTTTCTAGGGCCACTTCCAGCCTCTGTTGTCCTGTTCCAGTCTACCCTTGTTGCTCTTTAGGTTTTCTATGTGGGCCGTTATCCTGAAGTTTCCTGTCACCAACCTTCTGGGGCTTCTGCTCTCCTCCCTGGGAGTCCAGGAGTTTGAGACTAGCTTGGGTAAATTAGCTGGGTGTGGTGGCATGTGCCTGTGGTAGCTACTTGGGAGGCTGACGCAGGAGGATGGTGTGAGCCCAGGAGTTGGGAGCTACAGTGAGCTGTGATAATGCCACTACACTCTAACCTGAGCAACAGAGTGAGACTTTGACTTAAAAAAAAAAAAGTAGGGTAAGAGAATCCAAACATTTTTCTACATTTCCTTTGAGAAGAAATGAAAAGACTCAGATCTATCCTCCAAGCTAAGGTGTTAGCCGTACTTCAGTTACCTCACCTCTTCTGACTTGGTCTAGTTATTTCTGCATTGCCGCTTTTTAAAAGAAAAGACAGGAAGGCAGAAAATCACAATTGTTGAATATCTGTTATGTGCTAGGAGCTCCACACATGTTACTTTAATAATCCTCCCAGCAACTCTTTAAAGATACTGAAACTTGGAAACAGGCAAATTGCCCATAGTAAAAAGCAGAGCTAGAAATTAAATTCAGTCTTACCAGAGGCTCAAGTCTCAGCCCTTTGCAGCATTGTATCATGCTTTGAACTTGAGTGAGGAACTTGTATGTTGGGAACGCTTGTTTTCAAGAGTAAAACTTTAATTTTAGGTCATAGTGTTTAGAAAAAAACTTAATTTTGGCCGGACTTGGTGACTCAGCTTGTAATTCAGTCATGTTGGGTGACTGAGGTAAGTGGATTGCCTGAGCCCATCAGTTCAAGACCAGCCCTGGCAACTTGGCAAGACGTCATCTCTACAATAAAAGAAACAATAGCTGGGTGTGTAGCACGCGGCTGTAGTCCTGGCGACATGGAAAGCTGAGGCAGAAGGATCACCAGAGCCTAACAGGTCGACACTGGGGTGGCTGTGAGCATGCCACTGCACTCCAGCCGGGGCGGGGATTGAGACTCCAACTCAAAAAACAAAACAAAACAAAAAACAAAAAAAAACAAACTTAAGTTTATGAATTACATCTTTTAGTGATGATACATCTTTTTATTTTCTCTAGGAGTCTTTTAGAAAGATTTATATTCATTGCTTCCTCTTTCAGTAAAGGAAATAAACAGAAACAAAGATAGTAGTCATTTGAACTTTAGCTGCATATCTGTGGATAGTATATTTGATCCAGAGGTTGAATCAAATAAGTTTATTGAGTTTCCTGTGCACTTCAAATATCTAATGCTTTTAGTAATTCTTAAGCAAATCTGTGAATCAGTTCAGTAGGAGGCAGAATCTTAGCCTGATGGAAAGTTACTCTACTTGCCTAATGACCATGACAGACATATATTTGAGATCTTTATATTCTTTATCTTGGTAAAATAGTTTTATATGTTGCCAGAAAGACTCCAATGAGCACTCTGATTCTCTCCTGATATTTTTCCTGAGAGCACCAGCTTAATGTTGTTAAGTAGGCAAAGTCTTTTAACAGTTTGATTTCTTCTTTTTTGTGTGTGTCAGACTCTCACTCTGTCACCCAGACTTGCCTGCAGTGGCACGGTCATGGCTCACCACATCCTTGGATTCCTGGGTTCAGGCGCTCTTTACACTTCAGCCAAGTAGCTGGGACTACAGGTGCACACTTGGCTAGTTTTTTGTAGAGGCAAGGTCTCGCCGTATTGCCTAGGTTGGTCTCAAACTCCTGAGCTCCATCAGTTCTCCCACCTCGGCCTCCCAAAGTGCTGGGATTATAGGCATGAGCCACCATGACTGGCCTGTTCTAATTTTGGTCATTAATTAACTCAGTAAATATTTATTGGGCATCTACTGTATGCCAGCTGGTGTTCTAAGTACTGGGCATATAGTTAGTGAACAAAATATACAAGGTGTCTTCTTTCATGGAGGTTACATTCTAGTAGCAGACACATAAATAATATAATAAATGACAGATTTTTTTGGTGAGTAAGCAGGATTTATTGAGAGGACAGAAAAGCTCCCACAGTGGAAGGGAACCTGAAGGGGTTGCCCTAAATGACAGATTTTAAGAACACAATTTTAGGTGGCAAGTGCTATAAAGAAAATAAAAGGATATTTTGATGGAAATTATGGACAATATTGGTTAAGGTAGTTAGGAAAAGGCTT